AAACTAGTGCCATGGCACCGATTTATTGCAAATATGGCTATTGTGCTGAAACCCATGTCAGTGCTAAAGGCTCTAGGCGGAGCAGGGGAGCTCTGGAATGTGCTGGGACAGGGGTGAGACATGGCAGCAGCGAGGCCGGCTGCAATATCTGTTGCTCATTTATGTTACGAGGGAGGGATGTGGATCACGAGGGGCCTGGGAAGCGAGCCACAGTAGCCAGCGGTGATGGGCAGCTTGCCCTTGCCTCTTGCTGCATCCAGCTCTGAGATGTGCTGCTTTTATTCCCCAGCTTTTGGGGCAGCCTTGTGCTGGAGATTTTGCTTCTGTGAGCAGGGATGAACCTCACAGCCCTCGAGCTGCTGGCAGAGCTGGGAATCTGCAAACTACTTTATGTTTGATTTATAGCTATTTTGGCCACCAGGAGCAAGTTGTCTCCTCTTTGGAGGACGGGGATGAAACAGCCCAGTGCTGCAGGCAAAAGCTGGGAAGAGACAACTAAAACGGGAGGAGAAGCAGTGAGGAGGAGAAGCAGGAAAAGGTTCACGTGGCTTCCCTGGGGCACCGGCCAGCGCCTCTGGAACAACAACTGCCTCCGGGTTGGTCACGTCCCCAGTGCAGGAGGTGCACTGGTTGCTTGACCGATGCCAGGCTGAAGGCAACCCCCCTCCTGCATTTTACAATGGGGTGGGTACACCGGTTGCTGCGTGGCAGCCGGCATGGGATCCTGATGCCTGGGGAGTGCCGGTCTCTTAACCTCTCCTGCTCTCTCTGCCTGGTTCCCAGCACCATCTTAGGATTTTCTTCTTATTTTTTATTTTTTTTCCCCAGTTCAGGGCACGTGCTGTGAGAGAGGAGACTTCCCGTGACGACACCTGGGAAAGTGCTTTCTTCTGCTTTCCTACCTTGGTTGTGCTCTTGTTGAGGATGCTGTGCCTGCTGCTTGCCCTGGGAGCGCTGGTGCTCAGCTTGGCAGGTGAGTGGGACTAGGGGGAGTGGTTGGGTTGACTTGTCACCACCCCTAAGCAGATGTCCCGATTGCCATGCTCGTCCTGCCAAAGCTACCTTGGACCTGCAGTTCCTGGTAGCAGCCCTCACAATGTGCTTCTCCTAGTTTTGTGGTCATCCAGCTGCCCAGGGCATCACTGTGGGTGTGATGGCTTCGGGTGCGCGTGGGCCACCCTTGTAGCAGGGAGCACCGCCTCCCGCATGCTACGGCTGAATGGCAAAGCTATAGGAGAGCTAAATCCTGAAGGTTTTTGACTTCCATGGGTCTGTCCCCATGTGCTGCAGCTCCTGTCCACCCCTGCCAAGGCTGCAGCACCGCAGCCTGCGAGAGTTGTCGGGCCTGAATCCATTTGGGATGCTCAGCAGCAGTTCCGGCCAGGCTGGGTAATGTTCCTAAAACCCGCTGGCATTTATTATTAGCTGGAGGGAGATATGACACTGTCAAGTCTGCCAAAGAGCCAGGCAGGCTGCCCGAGCTCTCTTCTCCTGCCTGTCTGCCCGTCTGCGGCCCCTGGCACGTCTCTTCCAGCCCAACTCCTTCCTGCAGTGGCTCATCCTCCCACTTGGACCCTTGCTGAACATTTAGTGTCTTGTTGCTGTCCTTGTTCCCAGGGAGCTGTGGGTGACAGTTTTGCTGTGTTCTGCAGTGGTGTTGAAGTCAGAATATAAAGCGGATCATTGGTCTGAGAGGAGATTTCTCCCCTTTTCCTCCCCGTGTTGGAGTTGGGGAAACTGATGAATGAAGCACAGCCCTGGGTCTGCTTTGGGGGATGTTGCTGCTCGCTGCCAACAGACACTGTGGCCAGCTCTGAGTGCGGGGGGTCCGGCAGCCCTGGCACGCTTGGCATCGCTCTCTGACACAGCGGTGGTGTTGGCATCCTGCCGTGGTTGGCGTTGAGCCGTGGTGGCACTATGGTGAGGTTGGCATCTTGCAGTTGGCATTGTGCTGGAGCACTGGTGCCATCTAGTGCTGCCAGCCTGGCCACGGTGCTACCCAGAGCTGGCACCTTCTAGGGACACGACTTTGTGTCCCCACTGCTGTCATCCACTGACCACCTCCCCTCATGAGGAGAAACCGGGCTGTGTGTCCCAGGGGATGCAGCTTTGGGTGCCCTTGGTCGCGGCTGTCCTTGAAGGCAGTGGTGCCACAGATTTGACGCTGGATGTGGGGCTGTCTCTGTGATGGCAGGGTGGACTTGGCTGGGGGTCAGTGCTGAGGAGGGTCCTGAGATGCCACTTGCCCACAGGTCCCTCCCATGGGCATCCCTTGATTTGCTTAGATGTTATTCAGATGGAGAATTAAGGAGGTGCTCCTGCAGGATCTCACCACCATGTGCTTTTGCCTTTGCCACCCTCCCACAGGTGCCATGGAGATTCAAGTCCCGGATGAGCCTGTGGTGGCTCTTTTTGGCCGAGATGCCACCCTGCGCTGCTCCTTCTCCCCCGAGGCCAACTTCAGCCTCAAAGACCTGAGCCTCATCTGGCATCTGACAGACACCAAGCGTTTGGTCCACAGCTTCTCCGGTGGCCGAGACCAACTGGCAGACCAGGGTGGGGGCTATGCCAACCGTACGGCCCTCTTCTACGACCAGCTGGCTCGGGGCAACGTCTCATTGCTCCTTCGACGTGTGGAGATCTCGGATGAGGGCAGCTTCACCTGCTTTGTCCGGGTCCGGGACTACAACAGCGCGGCTGTGACGTTGCAGGTAGCAGGTGAGTGATGGAGAGCTGAGGTGTCCTTGTACGTATCCTCCAAAGAGGAGGATTCTTCACTGTGCTGCTGGTTCTTCATCAGCCTTCTACTCTCTGCACCCTTGCCGTGGTCTCCCCAGTAATTCTTCCCTCTATTAGAGACTGACCAGCTGCATCTTCCTAAAATTATTGCTGATGGGGGATGCTGTCCCTTCCCTGCCATGGTGGAGGGTCTCTCAGATGAGAGGCCACCTGGAAGCATGGCCATAAATGAGCCAGGCTTCAGCTGGTTGGTCTTATTGCCTGGAAGAGTCTGTCCTGAGGCTTGCCCAATCTCATCAGGTTGCTCCAGATTCTAGTCCTTTTGTTTTTTGCATCGTGTCATGCTGGCTGGCTTCTCCCTTCCAGCTCCCTACTCCAAGCCCAATATGCACCTGGAGCCCAACAAGGACTTGAGGCCAGGAGATCTAGCAGCTGTGACTTGCCACGCTTCTGGTGGCTACCCCGAGGCCAGTGTCCTCTGGCAGGACAGCCAGGGCAGCAACATCACAGAAAACATTACCACATCCCAAGTGGCCAACGAGGAAGGTCTCTTTGATGTGCGCAGCGTCCTTCAGGTGCTGTTGGAGCCCAGTAGCACCTACTCCTGCCTGGTGCGAAACCCAGTGCTGCAGGAGGACACCCAAGCTTCTGTCACCATCACGGGTGAGCCAATGAGGGCCAAAATCGGGGGAAGGAGGGTGTGATGGTTTTGGTTGGGGTAGGGTTAGTTTTCTTCATAGGAGCTGGTATGAGGCTGCAGTTTGGACAGAGGCTGCTACCCCGTGTCTCCACTCTGCCTCTCTCCCTGTGGACCTACAAGGGTGACTTGAGGCTGTGCTGTCCTCTCCTGTCAACCCCCACCAGTGCCCTTAGTTCTTAATCTGTCTGAGATCCTCCTGCTGCCCTTCCAAAGCAATTTATAACCTTGTGCACTCCCCAGTAGCATTAATTAAATTATCCCTGTTATGGCACTTGCAGGGTTAGGAAGGTGGCTTCCTGGTGGAGCATAAATCTTTTGGCTGAATGTGCGAAATTCTTGCAGGAAACCTTGCTGCTTGTTGGGGGCACGGGCAGCCTTTGAATGGGCTGCCGAGCACATGAGCAAGTGTTCAGCCTTGGGGTGACACCTGTGGAGAGGGCAGGGTTTGGGGTGAGATTTATTTGAAGAAGAAATATTATGAGGAAAAATTGGATTGCTAACACTCCAGGAGGTGTTCCCAAAGCCCTCGAGGTACCTGCCAGACCTTCACAGACCCTAGCGAAGGTGTCCTCATCCTTTCCAGCGCCATGGTGTAAGATGAGAGGGGAAAGGGAGCAGGTGCAGCATCATCTAATGCTTCTTTTGAGCTCTTTAGCCGGTGAAGGGGCAGCCTGCCATTTGAATTCATTAGTGCAATTATTTAAAGGTTAACAAAGTATTTTAGGGAGTGACTCAAGCTGCTGCTTCCCTGACTGGATCCAGACCTGCTGAGGGAGGCCATAATTAGAGCCACTGATGGGTTTACTTGCAAGGCCACCCCCTGTGCCACTGACTCCCTCCGTGGGGATGTGCCTCTGCTGTTGCGGAGTCCTGGATGCCAGTTATGTGTCCCCTTCATTCGGGCAGCAATGCTCACTGTGGTGATATTTCTCTTTCCTTCCCCTACAAGGTCAACACCTCGCCTTTCCTGCTGTGGCTCTCTGGGTGACGGTGGGACTTGCCATCTGCGTTGTGGGGCTGCTGGCTGTCCTGCTATACGTGTGCCAGAAGAAAATCCGGCAGAGCATTGAGGAAGAGGAGGAAAACGCAGGTAATGTGGTACCTACTCCCCTGAAAATGGGATGGGTTTTGGCAGAGGGTGATGGATGGGGGTAGCTGGGGCACATTTTAACTGGCCTGGGTTTGTCTTGGTGGTGACATCTTTCAAAGGATGAAGGGATGCTCAGAGCTGCTGGGGTTAGCGGGCACCAAGAGATCCGTACCAGAGAGCCCGTGCTGGCTGCGTGCATCGCTCCAGGAGGCGCTTTCAAACGTGGACCTGGTTTTGCTGCCACTCATCATGTCTCTGCCTTTCACCTTCCAGCTCTGAGAATCGTCTGCATGTCTGATACCCACAACTGGGCATGCGTGGAGCATCTCTGAGAAGATGCCTCTAGCACTTGCCACCCTGGAAATGCCGAGCGCTTTGACACATGGAAATAGCATGAGAGAGATGCTCTTCCTTTTTTATCCATCTCCTGCTTGTTTTTTTACAAACAAAAAAAATTTGTTGCAGAGAGGTGTTTGCACAAAAGGGGGCCTTTGTTGCTATAAAAAAGCTGCCGTGCTCCAAAAATGGCTGCAGAAGCAGCTTTGCTGGCGCTCCCTGTTTGTTTTCTCTTGCTGCCTCCCAAGGCATTTGCTCTGCCAAAGCTTTTCCCTGCCAGCACTGTGTTGCCAGGCTGGGGCCTGCGGCCTTCCTCCCTGGGGGCTCCCACTTCTCTCCTCCTCTTTGCCGTGGAGGATGTGAGTGCCGATGCCACCATGATGTCTGGCTTGTCAGGTGTCCCCAGCAGTCGGGACCGAGAGAGTTTTCCCCCAGCAGACCCCAAGGGATTGTCTGCAGGAGATACATATATATATATGTAAAAATATGTTGTGCTTTTTCCCCCTCTGTAACAGAGTATTTTCGGCCAGGGGATTTGCAGTGCTGTGACACTCAGCTGTGGCCCCAGGCCAGCTGACCTCAGTCCTTTAGCATCAGGACACAGCTCTCAGCCCATAGTGTTTTGCACTGATGGCTGCACACCCTTAGCAATAACCTTTGGCTGTGCCTCTAGGTCATCCAAAACCGGACAGAGACCCTGCTTGGGAGCCTGGCAGCCATGGGAGGCAGGATTAGTGATTTTTTTGCTGATCTTTCTTGCTAGGAAACAGCATTGTGGCAGGTCTTTATCTGTGGGGTACAAAGCTGCCAGGCTCCATGACAGGGTTGTCAGCCTGGAGAGCGAGAAGGGGATGCTCATCCCTCAGTGCTGCCGGGGTATCCTGGAGGCGTTGGGGGATCCGTAGTCTCCCTGCTAAGCCCCTCGCTGAGCACTGCTCCAGATGGTGGCTGTGCTATAAATAGGGAGGCGAGCGGCTGTGCTGTGCAGCCCGGAGCTGTGGCTATTTCTGCTTTGCTCATAGGCAATGTGCCTTGTGCTGGGGGAAATACCACGCCACCCTATACTGTGGGGTGCTGAACTGGAGGTGCTGGATGCAGGTAGGTACCAGTCACCTCCTCCCTTCCAGCATCACCAGTACCTGGTTCTGAGCAGCCCCTGGGATGTGCAGGAGGAGCTGGGGACAACAATGATCCAAGGGGCATCCACCAAACACAAGGAGGGTGGAGATCAGGATCAGTGCTGGGCTGGAGCCCAGCAGACCCTTCACACTGTCTGGCTTGTTCATTTGCAGGGACGGAGGAGCAGGGTGAGGAAGGGGAAGAGCCCAAGACAGGTGGGTGCATGATGTTTGCTTATGGCTTACATGGGTGCATTATAGCCCGTGCTTGTGTCACTGTCCCCGGTGCGCTTCACATCTTCCATTGGTGCTCAGCCTCCTCCACACTCTTGGGCTGGCAGCTCCCTGATAAGCCACCCTATCTCTTAATAAAAAAGCACTTTGCTGTCAACAAATGGGTTAATTACATGCCCAGTGATTGCTGTTATCTGCTGGCACAGGAGCAAGCCCGCTTGGAATGCCGGCTTTTTCGCTGCTGCTGGAGATTTAGGGACCGGGGCTTGGTTTGCGATGGAAATTGGTGGGTGTGATTATTGGTGTGGGTTCTCCAAAATGTGGCTCTTGGCTCTTTCTTTTGGGGAGGCATTCCTTTGCAACCTGCCTCGTCCTGCACGTCTGACCGTATGTTGATTTGCTTTTTGCAGCTCTGCAGCCACTGAAGAGCATGGAGGGCAAAAATGGTGAGTGCGTTTGTCAGGCCGTGGCGTAGGACCATGAGCTGGCTCGTGGTGAAGGTTTCTTCCAAAGCACGCTGGAGATGATTCTCAGATCTGAGTGTAAAGCGTCTATTGCATCTCCATCATGTTGTGGTTTTCTTTTAATTTTTTTCCCCCCAGTTTTCTGTCAAATTTTCCCAAATTAATCATTTCCTAGCACCCATTTCCACTCCAATTGTGGCTGTGCTTGCTCTGGCTGCCACTCATATCTCCCAGCAGGGGTGAAACAATGCGACCAACGTGGTGTTTCTTCTCTTATCCTTCTTTTTCTTGGGCACCTTGAGGCCAAGAAAAGCCTCCTGCTACCAACCTGGGTCATTGTGAGGCATTTGGGTCTTTTTTTGAGTGCTGCCGTAGACTTGCTAAGAGTAGAGGAATTTATGGGGTTGGGCCTCACATTGCAGAGAAGGAAGCATGAGCAGAATTCTTCCCATGCAGAATTCCCCAGCAGCAGCCTGATGCTGAATTTCTGGTGGAAATTCATGAAAATTAGGAGTCCCAGCGCCTGTTCCTGCCTTTCAGTATCTTCTCCCAACTTCCCAGCTTGATGCTGCCAACAGCTCATCACTCATCCCAGCCCAGTGATAAGCTCCTGCACTTTCCAGCCTTGTTCCTCCCCGTCCTCATCCTCATCCAAAGATTTACTTCCTTTCTTATTAAAGGCAGAGGCTTGGCCTCCACTGCTGGCGAATCGCTGCTAATTTAACCCTCCCTTCCTCTTTGATTAACAGCCCTGTTTTTTTCTCTGGTGCCATTTCTCTCCCCTCCCCCACCACAACAGGTTTATAAGAGCCTTTTCTCCCTTCCCTTTCACACTTTCAGCAAAGCATCAGCCGCCTCTGCTTTTCCACTTCTTTTTTTTCCTCCTTCCTGCTCTTATCTTCCCCTCGCAAGCCATTGAAGCCCTCATTCAGCTTCCCAGCCCCTTGGCTTTTCATCCACAGTGCAGCCTGTTTGCTTAACCCTGTCTCCTGCTTGCTCCTCAACCTCTTTTACACCAGAAATGAAACTTGAGTAATAACATCTCCCAGCATTTGCTGGCTGCAGGATGTGGGTTTCTAGCCAGAGGGATGGATGGAATGGTAGAAACACACCTATATGTGTCTGGTCGTATTTGCCTGAGGCTGGGAGTGGGCATCCCAGTTTTCCAGGACGAGGAGAGCCCAGAGCTACCAGCAACCAAATTAACTCATTAATTTGGACCTGTAGTTATTATTCTTTTTTAGTGTCTTTGTCAATTTTGATTCAGTTTTATGTGGGTTTTCGTTTTTTTTTTCTCCCCAGATAACGAGCAAGAAATTGATTGACAGGAGCTGGGACACCCCCAAGCACCACCCTGTGCCCTGGACCAGCCGAGATGTCCCCAGTGGGGATGGTCTCTCTGTCCCCTTGGGAGGGCACAGACCTGCTGCCACCTCTCATTCTGGGCCCCATCACCCTCCTTCTTCCCTGGCCATGTCTTTGGGGTGCCCTGGGGCTGGAGAGAAGCTGCATCTCTTTATCCCCAGCAAGCCCCAAAGACTGATGCATCCTTCCCGAGGACAGACTATGTGGGGCGGAGGCTCTTCCCTGTCCATCTGTCCATCCCACCGTGGGGCTGAGAGCAACCAGGGTTGAACCATTCCCCCTGGCACCCTCTGTGCCTGTTCCCGTGTCGCCGCAGCTGAGCCAGACACCTTCCAGGTGCCTTCCAAGAGAAATTTCACTGCCTTTTCCAAGCCCAGAGGCCTTGAGAGGGGTGATGGACTCAGCAAAGTCCCCAGAAGTGACCGATGGAGCTCCGGAGGCTCCAGGAAGACGGGTGGGACCTATGGGACCCCCAGGTGTGGGAAGACAGAGCTAGTGCTCGTGATGGATGCCCCGCTCCAGGGACAGATGGGAACCGTTATTTTTTCACATTTCACCACTGTGGTTCCTAGTGGACTTTTATTTTTGCCTTAAATGCAAAATCCCTTCAGGACAGTTATCCCCTGCCTCAAGTTAACCTGAGGGGATTTTTTAGGGGGGTGAGGTTGAAAGACAGCTTGGGGGGGGACACCTGCTGGTCTGGTGAAGCCCCCCTCGCCTCCCCCACGGTGACAAAGCTGACGCGTTGGGGGCTAAAACAGTGATGGGGATGAAGCTGGCTGTTGCGTGGGGTCGATCCCTCACGTTTCCCATGGGATCGGGTTCTTTGACCCTGTGTGTGCCCTGGCGGTTCTACCTCCACTGCTGGGTACCTGCAGAGTCCATGGGGGTGAAACAGAGTGGTGTGTCCCTGGTCCTGTGCTGGTGGGTAGAGAAGTCCCCGCTGTGCCCCTTGATGACTTTTCTGCTGGTTTTGGCCATTATTTAAAATCCAGAATCTGAAGGAGAGTTTTGTGCATTGACCAATAAATTTGAGGATTATTTTGAACAATGCTTTCCAGAGTCAGCATTGTCTCCATGATACAGCTTTTGCATTTTAACTATCAAAATTTCCAGAGCAAAACCTTTATGTTCCCCTTTTCAGCTCATCCCCATGTGTTCCTTAGTCCCCTGCTGCCACCCCAGCACCTTGCACCATGCTGCCCTCACCCATCACCTTACATGGGGAGAAAACGATTCCCATGGTGGGGAGATGCTTTCTGTGTTTTAGTTTTCCATATTTTATCACCTCTAGCAGCAGAATGAAGAGCAAAATCCTCAAGGGACATGGTCATCCATCTGAGGTCACTCCAGAATTCAGGCTGGTTAATCCCAGCAGTGGGCTGCGAACAGGGTCTGATGGGGGCTGTTGGGGATAGGACCTTCTGAAATCACCCACAGAGGATTATTTTTAGCTGTCTTTCCCCAGGCACAAGGCCAGGCTCTGTATTCCAATAGAAAAATATTTCTAAAAGCGAGACAAGGGAAAAAGTGCTGGTATCAAACTTGGATTAGGGAGGGGATGGATGGTGATTTCATTCAGAGGGTTTGATCTACAGCCTGAATTAAGTACTGGCCCAATTTTTAATGAGGTGCCAGGAGGTACCGTTAGTATTGTTTAGCACCCAGACACTAAGCTGAGGGAATGAAACCATTAACCACCTCCAGCTCCTTGGAGGGCAGCGAAATGAGTTGTCCTCACATCCAGGACATCTGTAATGGTCCTGAGATGGTGCCAGCATCTCAGTCTCCTCCAGCTTGGAGCTTTTGGGGCATTTCTTTGGGCAGAGCTTACTTGTGTTTGCTCTCGTCCCTCCTGGGAGCAGGTGAGTTCATTCAAACCCCCTTGATAGGTAAAAAAAAACAACAACCAAAACATTGCATTTGGCAGGTTATTTTAGAAAGCACTGAGGCGAGTCTCTCCCGAGCACCGATCGATGGCAGCTGGATTCTCCCCATCAATAATAAATAAAGGGCTCCTGCTTCTTTTATTGAACTAATTCTGGGGGGGAGGATAAAGGTGCTGAGCTTTGTTGCTGGTTCTTGCCGAGGACCTCGTGGGTTGGATGATGGGGTGGGATGAATGATGCCCCTGTTGTCCCCTTGTCCTGCCCCAGTTCATGGAGTGGGGCCACATCCCTGCAGGCAGCAAGGATGCTCTGGAAACCCTGCAAGGATGGATCAGACCCAAGAGCTGCCTGGCACCCATGGGTGCTCCTGCCTTGCATTGTAGGTCAGTGTCACTTTCCAGAGATGAAGGATGTGTAGGAAGCAGCATTTTCTATGTGGTCCTACGGGGTGATGTGCCTTTCACTGGGATGGGTAGGATCTAACTGCTACTCTGCCCCCAAATGCCCAATTCTTCCCCTCAAAATTGCCAGCCCAGCCAAGAATTCTGCTGGAAAGCTCAGAGCAACCTGGCTGAGCTGCTGTCTGATTTTAAGGACACTGCAAATGTAATATCTGACTTTCCCAGGGAAAGCAGAGCTCAGGAACAGCCCCAGGGCTGGATCTTCTTGCCGCTTGGCTGATGAAGGCAAGGAGCAAGGCCCTGAGGCCAGGGCTGTGTGCCTGAGGTGGAGTTCATCTTGGGGAGAGGAAGTTTTAAAAATCACTTTCTACTTCTGCCTGTAGCTTTTCCTGGGAGGCAACATTAAAAAAAATAAAATTAAATTGTTCTAAAAATCCAGAATTTGTTGTGAAAAAACAGTGGTTTATTTGCCTTTTGTTTCCTCCCATTGCAACAACTGGGATGGCGAAACCACCCAGCTCCATGTCAGCTCTGCTCGAGGAATTTGCTTTCTATGGGCAAGCCAGAGCCAATGCAAAGTGCTGGCACACTGAGCTCCTTTTTGGCCAAAAAATAGCTGTGAAAAACTCCACTTATGCCATCCATCCTGGTACCCAAATCTTTTTGATGGGGGATGAAGAGCATTGTGGTGTTCCCAAGGGAATCACGTGGAGTTGGCACTTTCAGAGCCAATTTCTCCCTCACAGGACCTATTTCTTGGAGTCAAATCCCAAGCGGGTTATTCCACGCAGCAGCAGTGCATCTGGTCCCACTAAGTCAGAGTTAATGGAGGGATTGAGAGATATTTTAATTACAGATTTGGCTATCCTGCGTGATTTATCCTGGTAACTCAAGCAATTTATCCATCAACAGTTATAAGGGATCTGAAGCAGAAAGCAAGAGCAGGGGGTATTTATCGCGGTGACTCACAAGTCGTTTAAGAGAGATTTGAAACGAAACAGCAATGTTGCTTAAAAACTTCTGTCCTGGCATGAAGAAGTTGTCTCCAGCAGGAAAATTAATGAGCGATGTCATCGTCAACCTCCAGTTCCCCTATTTTCCCCGTGTTAGCCAAGCAAGATGCCCTTGGGGATGCGCAGCCAAAAGCACAGCGTGGGGACGAGGGGATTGGGGTGACGTTTCCGTGTCATTTTACCGTTGGGTGACATTTCAGTGGCATTTTACGATTGTGGTGAGGCAACCTCCCCTCCGGCAATGCTTTTGGAAGCAGGATCTGAGCCAGCTCGGTGACAGCATCATTTTCTCAGCGAGGAGAGGTTGGTGTTGTTTAATGAGCCTTGGAGAAGCATGTGGTGTCTCAGGTAAGGTGATGTTGCTTAAATATTGCCAGAGAAGCATTCAATTTCCTCTATTAATACAGTATTTAACACTCCAGTGAAGAAGCACCCTGGCAAATAAACGGATGCCTTTGGATGAGCCATCTAGAGAAAACGTGCTGACACTGCAGTTAGTCTCTGTGCCTCACAGAGGAAAGGATGTTTTTCTCATCTCAGGTGGTCAGGCTGTGTGCAAAGATGAAAAATTCAGGGAGGAAACCTATCCCAAAAGGAGGATGTGATGTTGCTTCCTGCAGCAAGGATCAAATGCTTCCACTGTGGGTCTTGTCCTGTTCAACCGAAAGCTTTCGAAGGAGCATGGATAGTGTGTATGTAAAGACCCTGAGCGTCCTGTTAGCCCTGGGAAGGGGCTAACAGGACCCCCAGTGTCCTTCATACCTGGAGGAAATCTACAGTCAAAGGACTCTGCAGGCAGAAAGGGCCATTGCTTCAGAGCTCTTAAATACATATTACAGTGATGGATGCAGCACTCACTGCAGCGTGAGAGCCGGGAGGTGGTGGATGAGGTGGGGATTTTGGTGCCTATTGATCACTTTTACACCTGTAAGAGAATAAAAGCTATTCCTCACCCAACAGGTTCAGGCTTTTAAGACCAGTGAATCTTCCATCTCAGATGCTCGAATTTATTTCCCACCATCCCACTCCCAGTTTTTCTACCTGACAGCCTTTGGCTGGAGCTATTGCAAGGTGTGAGAAACCCACCTTTGAGCAGAGAAACTCTGGGATGTGCTAGCATGAGACGCAGGGCTGGAGCTGTATGCAGCTCGTTGGATTTCTAGATGAGCTACAGCTCTCCCTTTGGAAGAGAATAAAGGGTACATGGGATGCAGGCACCTATCCGCCTAGACCTGGTTCCACATAGAGTTTGAAGGGAGTTGGGAGAATCAACCCCTGGACCTTTCGTGCCGTGTCCAGCTGCCAGGCTGAGTGATGAGGCTGTGGCCAACACGAGCATCACCTCCCCTCCTCCTCATTGCCTATGGCTGAAGGACCCCCCCAAGCAAGCCCAGCTTACAAGTTAAAAGATACCACCCTAGCACAAGGATGAGCTGGGTTTGGAGATGCCCTGCCGCTCAATGAATTAATAAAGAGGCCTTGAGCCGCCGGAGAGGTTTTTCTTGTTTTATCATTTATTCATCACTCATAAAAATATCAGGGGCAAGGCTGGGACACGGAGATCATGCCAGAAGTGGATGGTGTGTGTGTGTGTGGCATTATTCATGCTTTGGGGAGACAGCAACCACTACCTAATGCATGGGAAGGGGTTCCCACTGGGAATTTGGGTGGATCCCCATGGTCTTGGTGGGAGCTCTACTCATCCAGCTTATTGCTGCGGTGTCTCCTATGAGCAAATCATAGAATCATAGAACATTTTCGGCTGTAAGAGACCTTCAAGACCATCAAGTCCAACCATTGTCCTGGCACTATCAACACCACTAAACCCTGTCCCTCAATGCAACATCTACCCGTGTCTTAAACACCTCCATGGACGGTGACTCAATCACCTCCCTGGGCAGCCTGTTCCACTGCCTGACAACCCTCTCAGTAAAGATATTTTTCCTAATATCCAACCCAAACCTGAACCTGGTGCAACTTAAGTCCATTTCCCCTTGTCCTGTCACTCACCACTAGGGAGAGCAGACCAACTCCCGCCTCGCTACAACCTCCTGTCAGGGAGCTGTAAAGAGTGACAAGGTCTCCCCTCAGTCTCCTCCAGGCTAAACAGCCCCAGATCCCTCAGCTGTTCCTTGTATGACACACACTCCAAATCCTTTACCAGCTTGGTTGCCTCTGTACCCTCTCCTCTTGTAATGAGGGGCCCAAAACTGGATGCAGTACTCGAGGTGCAGCCTCACTAGAGGTGAGTACAGGGGCATGACCACCTCCCTGCTCCTGCTAACAACACCATTCCTGATCCAGGCCAGGATGCCATTGGCCTTCTTGGCCACCTGGGCACACTGCTGGCTCCTATTGTCCATCAACGCCCCCAGGTCCCCCTCTGCCTGGCAGCTCTCCCGCCACTCCTCCCCAAGCCTGTAGCACTGCTGGGGGTTGTGGCAGAAGTGCAGGACCCAGCCTTTGGCTTTATTGAAACTCATGTGATGGGCCTTGGCCCAGCGATCCAACCTGTCTAGATCCCACTGGAGAGCCTCCCTACCCTCAAGCAGATCAATACTTCCACCCAGCTTGGTGCCATCTGCAAACTTACTGAGGGTGCACTCTATCCCCTTGCCCAGATCATTGATTAAAATGTGGCCCCAGTACTGAGTCTTGGGGGACATCACTCGTGACCAGTCGCCAACTGGATTTAACTCCATTGACCACATTGTTATTAATGTATTTATAGAAGCTTTTTTTGTTGTACTTTACTTTCAAAGCCAGATTAATTTTTAGCTGGGCTTTGGACCTTCTAATTGCACTCTATCCCCTTGCCCAGATCATTGATTAAAATGTGGCCCCAGTACTGAGTCTTGGGGGACATCACTCGTGACCAGTCGCCAACTGGATTTAACTCCATTGACCACATTGTTATTAATGTATTTATAGAAGCTTTTTTTGTTGTACTTTACTTTCAAAGCCAGATTAATTTTTAGCTGGGCTTTGGACCTTCTAATTATCTCCCTGCATGACCTAACAATATCCTTGTACTCCCTATGAGTGGCCTGCCCTTTCTTCCAGAGGCCATAAACTTTCCTTTTTTCCCTGATTTTGAGCCAAATGTCTCTATTCAGCCAAGCCAGTCTTCTATGCTGCCAGCTCGTCTTAAGACACATTGGGTTGGCCTGATACTGTGCCTTTAAGATTTCCTCCATAAAGAGTGCCTGGTCTTCCTGGACTCCTATACCCTTCAGAACTGACTCCCGAGGGATTCAAGTAACCTTTCAAACAGATCAAAGCCTACCCTTCAGAAGTCCCAAACGGCAGTTTCCGTGTCCCCCCTCCTAACATTTCTAAGAATAGAGAACTTAATATTTTTGTGGTCATTGTTCCCTAGTTGGCCTCCAACTGCCATGTCCTCTGCAAGACCTTCTCTGCTCACAAAGAGAGGGTCCAGCAGAGCACATTCCCTGGTGGGTTCACTTACCAGCTGTGTGAGGAAGTTATCCTCCACATGTTCCAGGAACCCCCTGGATTGTTCCCTCTCTACTGCATTGTATCCCCAGCAGATACCTGAGAGCTTAAAGTCCCCTGCAAGAACAATGGCAAGTGACCACGAGATTTCTCCCAACTGCTTATAGGACGCTTCATCCACCTCACTGCTTGGGTTGGGAGGTCTATAGCAGACTCCCACAGCAATATCAGCTTTATTGGCCCTTACCGTAATCCAAACACTCTCAACCACATCATCACTACACTTGATTTCTGAGCTCTCATAACATTCCCTAATATACAGGGCCACTCCACCACCTCCTTCCCTGTATATCCCTCCTGAAGAGCTTGTAGTCATCAGTTGTGGCACTCCAGGCATGTGAGGTATCCCACCGCATTTCTCTTATAGCCACTATGTCGCAGTTTTCCTGGTGCATCACGGTTGTAGTCACCCCCCGCAACTCCATCCCACATGTCCTAGCAGACTACAAGGGAGATGCTTCAGCCAACAACTCCTGCTTCCCTGGGAACCCATGTAAAGCGTCGTTGGAAACCTACTGTGAATACAACCACTCCAGCTACAAAAAGACCCCTCCCAGCTTATTCAGCAGCACCACTGAAGAGCGAGTGAGCGCAGGGCATCCCCCCATGTCAAGGGGACCCCACTCATGGGGCTCCACTATGCACCAAGCAACTTTAAGTGACCTTCCCCCTAACCTCTTCATCCAGCTCGGCTATGTAGAGCCATTAGTCATCGTACTGTACACATGAGCAGCTGTGCCAATTAGCATAATTAACACACGAGTGCCAATTAATCTCTTGATTATGCCTGCCATTCACTTATCAGCTGCTATTATGGGAAGATCGGCTTTTGTACCTCTGCTTTCTATGCAAATAAGCCAGTTATGATGCCTTCATTACTCGATATACAATTACCCAGCACAGATATCCATGAAATCAAGCGCCGCCAGATTGCCAATGCACATGGGCCAGAGTCCAGGTGGATTTTGCAGTGAAAGTCTTCTCCATTTCTCAGTGTGCTACCTCAAGTGGTGCTCCAGGACTTGGGGTTTGGGAAATTGCTGACAAAGCAGCAGAGACCAGGGGAGAAATGCTTGTAGGAGCCTGACCAAGCCCTTGCCATGTTGGTGGCCAAAATTGACTCCATTTCATATAGTGAGACATCAGGCAAGACAGGGGACAAACTGCTCCAGGGCATTACCCAGCTGTAGGTCCAAGGGAATCAACCTCTGTGTCCCAAGAGAGAGGGATGATCCCAGCTGGGTCCCATCATCCTGAGCAGCTCCTAGCTGGGTGGGGTTTTGCCTGCAGCCCCTGGGCATGCCCCCCCTGGGCTGGAGCTGCTGGGAGTGCTGGTATAAAAGGCTCCTAAACAGCAGCTTCTTTATGAGCTGGTTTATTCTGACATCAGGATGGGGTCTGGAGGTAGCCTGGGTGTTGCTCTCTTCTGCTGGATGCTGGCTGAAGCAGCATCTTCCAGCCCCTGGGGTTTCCCTCAGAGGGACTCAGGGGTCTTGAGGGTCCGGGGGGACTCTTCTTGGAGCCGACCCCATGTGCCTTCCTTCTCTCAGCCCTCTCCTTGGGCATGGGTGGATGTCTCCCAGCTCCAGGCTTCTGCCCCTTTGCACCCTGTGACTGTGCAATGTCAGGAGGCACAGATGGTAGTCACGGTGCACAGGGACCTCTTTGGCACAGGACGCCTGGTTCAAGCTTTCGCCCTGACCCTGTGCTCAGTGTGGCCCAGAGCGTTGCTGAGAGCACCGTGACCTTCATGGCTGGACTGCATGAGTGTGGCAGCACCCTTCAGGTGAGGTGGATTGCTGGGGTGAGGGGCTACTCCATCCCAGGTGGGCATAGCTTGAAACTGCAGTGACTGTTACTGGGGAAGTAGGGGAAGGGGCTTGCTAACCCCATCAGCAGCAGAGGAGTTGGTGTTCACCTAGGGGAGAAGGTCTGCAGACCTGTTGTCCCACAACACTTGCCCACCTGATGTGAGTACTTGTTGGTTTGAGTGTTGAAGTCCTTGATACTGACCTTCTGCAGGGCTGGCACCTTGTTGGGTTGCCAGTGCAAAACTTCATGGTGTCCTGCATGCGCTGGATTAGGCATGCGGAGGCCAGCCTGTGCCTTTCCAGCTGATGGGCCTGTGTGTTGTAGCACAGTCAGTGTTGAGTATCTGACTGTGCTGAGCTGCTGGTTGACTGATTTCACTGACTTGCTGGCTCTCCCAAATCTTCCTTCCAGATGACCCCAGATTCTTTGATCTACAAAACAAGCTTGTCCTACAAACCTACTCCTTCTGGCAGTCTGGTCATTGTAAGGACCAACGCAGCTGTGGTTCCTATTGAATGCCACTATCCCAGGTGAGCAAATGGGGGCTGTGTCTTTCCTCATATGGACCTGAATCAATGGTGGCATCTATGTTAATGTGCATGTCTTCCATTTAGGAAGAGCAATGTTAGCAGCAATGCCATCCGGCCCACGTGGGCTCCCTTTCGCTCTACCCTGTCAGCAGAGGAGAAGCTGATGTTCTCCTTACGCCTTATGAACGGTGAATGCAGACCCAGCAGTCCCTGTTCCCTCGGGTTCCTGCTCCTGTCAGCTTGACTCTACTTATAATCTTGAATCTGCCTTCCTTCCAGATGACTGGAGTGCCGAGAGACTCTCCAACGGCTTCCAGCTGGGTGAAAGCCTGCACCTCCAAGCTGATGTTGTTTCTAGGAACCATGTACCTCTAAGGCTCTTTGTGGATGACTGTGTTGCTACTCTGAGTCCAGACAGGAACTCCTTTCCCCAGTATGCCTTGATTGACCTCAGCGGGTAAGGAGCTCAGAGCTCTCTGGGTGGTACTGCTGTAGCTGGCTGGCATGTTGCTGACTTCTGACCCTCACCCAGGTGCTTGGTGGATGGGAGATCAGATGACACCACTTCAGCCTTCATTTCACCAAGGCCGAGGCCAGAAACACTGCAGTTCATGCTTGATGCATTCAAGTTTGCAGGAGATAATAGAAACTTGGTGAGATGTGATACCCAGCCCTTCTCCCCCACTGTGTTCAGAGTTTGTGGTGTTCTATGTGAACAAATTTAATTAAACCTTGGATATTGGTTTAATTTCACTTCCAGATCTACATCACCTGCCACCTGAAGGTGTCCTCAGCTGACCAGTCCCCAAATCCATTGAACAAAGCCTGTTCTTTCAACAAAGCCAGCAGTCTGTGAGTAGCTGGTGCCCTTAGGGAGGGGACCTGCATAGAGAAGAGGGTTTACAGGTAATTCCATTTCAGTTGGACTCCTGTGGAGGGCACTGGAGACATCTGCAGCTGCTGCGAGACTGGAAACTGTCCGTTGTATGGAGGATACTCCCGGAGAACCAACTCCCCAGCCAGATTGTCAGGGAGGCGATTCAAGAGGGACGTCCCTTCCAAGCAAGGTATGGCTCTGTGTGTCCAAAATGTTGGCCCAATGCAGGATGACCCTCCAGGGTGGGATGACCAAGATTGTGGAAGATCTTTAGCAAGTGCATCTCATCTTGAGGACAAATGCAGCTCCTCTCCAGTGTCCTTGGGCAAGTCACTGTGTCTGTGTGCCCTTACACTTAAAGCTACTAGAAAGCTGCTTTTGTGGGGTTCACCTTTCTGTAAGCCTTAAGATCTAGGTGAGGGAGGAATTGCCTCCCCTGTGATCTCATTCATTTCCATCTCTTCTCAGGTGGGTCCTCAAGGGCAGCAGAGGCTGAAGTTTTGGTTGGACCATTATTAATCCTTGATTCACCTCAGGGATTATGGAGTTCCTCGGGAGGTCTTGCACAAGCAGGGAAAACCCCCCATGGTATGTGGGGTTTTTTTCTGTGTGTCTTCCAAATCCCTCATGATTCTGCACCTGGACAGACTTTTTAGTATAGTCAGCAAAAGACAGTCTGGGTGTATTCTTTCCAAAGCCACCTGCAAGTTCATCCCCTGACAGATGGTGGAAAGCCATTAAATGTGTAGTAAGTGGCTCTTGTCTCTTCCAGGTGCTGCTGAAGGACTTCCTATACTGGTTCAAGCTGGTGTGCTCACAGCGGCCACTGTGTTGAGCTTAACGGCTCTTGGACTGTTTCTTGTCTGCAGAAAGTGTAGCTGCCCTCCTGGAGCATCACTGTAACACCCCAATCCTAATAAAGAGAAACATTTCTGTTCTTTTCTGGTGTCCTCAGTGGGGAGGAGGGCAAGCAATCATCCTTTGCTCTGGGCTGCTTGGATGGGACACCATCCTCCAGGTAAGCCAGCTCCTGGGGTGGCCACAAGCTCTCGGGAAAGCCACCAACAAACCAGCAGTGGGACTAAAGATGTGGTGTAGCCACATGAAAGCACCTCCCAAACCACACCAGTTGGAGGTGGAGGGTGCCTTTCTGCAGGAGTACTTTCCAAATGCTCAGGGCTGCTGTTGAGGCTCACTTGTGTGCTTGACATACTATGTTGTGTCTGACAGCAAGGAATCCTAAATATTGGCTGCATACAGGGTAGGGCTCCTATTCTCAGGCAAATGAGGGAAGAATTGGTGCTGTTAGCAGATGCTAAATGGATTCCTGAATCTAGAAGTCCTGTTTGCCCTTTCTTAGCATGGGTGATAACAGCGGCTCTGTCCTGGCTTGCGGTTGAGACTTGTTTTAGCCTGGGTGAGGAGGCACTACTCTTAAGGAATATGCCAGCAGATCTAACCTTGGGACTTTTGTGTGTGCTGAGGCTGGCTGAGCATGGCTCCTGCTGCTGGGAGAACTGGGAAAAATGTGGTGGTGGAGGTAGATAAAGGCTGAAGATGGGTTGTTGCTTCTTGTTGGTGTGGTCTCAGCTGTGTGGAGAATAGTGAGTAATTGTTGGATGGGGAGGTGGAGCCAAGAGAAAGGGGACAATGGGGGGAAAGCTACTGGTCCATCCCCTCTAAACAGTCCAACCTGGAGACTAGTGTGGGACCCTGGGTGCAAGAGGGTCAGATTCCTTGAAGCATGAGGGTTCTTTGGTGCTGGCAACCCTTGTGTGCTTTGCAGTGGGAATCCCTAAGCCTCTTGACTCCTCCATTCCTTCTGGTCTGAGTGACTTTATGCTTCATGTTCTTGCTGGGAGAAGTGAAAGACCTTCTGCTTGCAAGAGCCTCTTCTGAGCTGAGGAAACAGCTCTTGGCCCTGGATAAAGGGTAAAAAGGAGCTAAAGCAACAGTTCCAGCAGTTCCACCTCTTGAATATTTGGTCCTTTGGCTAGCATCTTCTGAAAACTGCTCTTAGAGGCATCATCTAAATTTGACAGCTGAAGGATGGAAATGGCTCTTCTGCCCTGTAGCTCTTGACCTGTGATCCCCTGGCTGCTACTCTGCAATCTATTGACGCCGATTCTCCTTAGAGTGTATTCTGACCAAACCTGAGCTCTGCAAGGGATACTGAGAAGTCCGCTTGGTCTGGCTCTGTGGGCTAGGCAGGGTGTGGAGAAGGAATCCCTCTGCCCAGGCAATCTCAGTGTGAAAGCTCAGAGCTGGTGTGCTTAGGGTCAATGTTTGCTGCTTCTATTTTCAATTAATTAAGCAGCTGAGCTGAAATAAATAGATGGAAAAATGAGGCAGCCATGTAAGCTTTTTTTTTTTTTGTCCGAAATTTTCCCAGATCAAGCTGTCAGCCTTCATGTCTTATGCAAAAGCTCCTTCCTGAAGGAGCTACAGAAGATTAAAAGCTTTTTTTTTTATTGTTATTCTTAATTTTTACCTTGACAGTGTGACATGCATTGTGAGACTGGCCTGAGTGTGTGGCCAGGTGGTGTCGATGCTCCTCCCAAGGGCATGGAGATCCAGCTGTGCCCTCTGGGAGGGAGCTAGAGGTTGTCCTTACAGGCAGTCCCTTGTGCACTGTCCTCTTCTAACTATCTGTCTTAAGGCTCCTCATTCATCCAGAAAGCCGCTTTCTTCCTGCTTTCCAAAGGAATCTGCCACTGAGCAGAACCTGCTGCTTTTGTCACTGTTGTACTGTGTTGCAGGGGTTTGGAGAGCTGTATTCCTCTGGGTGTTGCAGCTCTTTGAGCTATGAAAGACCAGTTCCTGTGCTGGGAAGCTTAATAAACAAGCCAAGCTTTGCACTTATTAATCTTAATTCAAGATGTGAACTTGTCACCTCCTTTGGTCCAGGCTCTAAGGAGGAAGCCATCAGCATGGTACTCTTTCCTCTGAGGGCTTCAGCATCCAGGCTAAGAAACAGAGAAGAAATATGGATTTTATTTTTTTACTTTTTTTTTGAGTTGGGACATGGAAGTCCTCCTTCACTGTGATGCTCTTCTGCCCTCTGTGCATGGAACAGTCAAGGAGCTGCTGGGCAGTGCAGAAAGGGATTGCTCTGAGCTGCCCAAGTGTGGGGCTTCACATGGTGCTTGTTGACCTGTACATCCAATTTAGTTATTTATTTAAGGTCTTTTTAGCTGTGATGGAGAGAAACCTTTCTAGTGAGCTGACAGGTAACCCATGGCCAAAGCCTGAACCTTCTTTGCCTTTGGTTGCTGCTGCTGGCGTCACAGGTCATCAAAAATGTCTGGACATTGTATGGGGAGAAGAACTTGTGGGGTTGTGGTGGGTTTTTTTTGGGTTTTTTTGGTGTTTTTTTTGGGGGGGGCATTCTGAGTCATGTTGGATCTGACCCTATTGGCTATAATTCCTCAGACCCTCAGCTCCAACTTACTTGCTCTTCCCCACCTGTGAGCCACATCAACCCCAGTCCCATACCTGCTGCTTCTGGGCTTTATTAACATTCATTTCCCTTGCACACATGAGCATCTGAGTAAATACTTAATTAGAAAGCTGCAAGATGCTGGCAGAACAATCAATTTGTGGGAATTAATAAGGTGAATGAGGATGCATCACAGTTATTCACATGTGGCTCCAGCTTGCTATAAGCACCCCATTGAATGGAGATGTTGGTGATAGGCTGTAAGGGGCCTTCAGGGGTGCAACAGATTAAAACAAAAGTAATTTACCATGTGGGTGAACAATCAAGGGATGCTTATGGGGATTTCAGGATAAAGGGGAGCTGCTTGGTATGCAAGGGAGTGTGGGTGGAGTTGGAGGTATAGTGCCTTGATGAGTGATCTTGGAGAGACAGCAGCAGCCTGTCTACCTGCCATGGCAAGAGTTGAGGTGCTTCAGCTCCTACCATGGGACTGTATCCTTCATGGCACTGCTGTCTGTCCTATAGCAGAAGGGATCTGGGTGCAAAGGATTCATGAAGGTACATAACTTAACCACCACCACCCTCCCAAATTTCCAGATCTGCTGGAAACCTCCAGGTTGCTGCAGCTGGGATGTTGTTTCAGGGATTTATTTGATCCCAGCTTGAGGATGTTAGCAGTGCTCTCCTACCACAGAGCTGTATGTGCGTCACCAGCTCCTTGAGTCCTGTCAATACAGGGGAAGCTTGAGGGAAGCAGGGGTAAAGTATTGTGTGTACTGAAGGAGAAAAAAAAAAAAAAAGTCTGGAAAAAAACCCATAGTATTTTAAAACCCCAAAGAATTTTTTTTCTTTTGTCCTGGTGCTCTCAGACCATGACAGCATGCCACGAGTTGTGTCCTTTCTCAGCTCTCTGCATCTAGACATTAAAGAGGCCATCAAACTTTGCTGCCCCAACATACGTACATTAAGCATGTACAAGGCTAATTTCCTGATGATATACATTATTAATGCCTGCTTGCATATGCTCAAGGAAATTGCTATTTTTTTTTTTCTTCTTCTGATCAGCAAAACAGAACACTATTCTAAGACTTGGGATGTTGCTGGTGGAGTTTTTACACCTTTGCCAATGGTGTTTCCTGAATAGTTGTTTATTGCAAATAATACCCACTTTCCCTGCACAGAGCTGAAGAAGAAGCTGAAAAGGAGAATTTCTTGTATCTCTTATGGGTATTTATTCCCATCTGAGAGACAAAAGTGTTTCCCCAAGGAACTGAAGTTAATTCACTTCTCATGTTTTTTGCTGCCAGAAAAAAAAACATGCTGCAGTGTAAATGGAGACGAATGAGAAAAAGCCATTTGAAAACACTGCCGGTAAATTAAAGTTTTGCTGTATTTGCTGAGATAATTTAGTGTAATTCCCTGCTAATGAATTAATGCACTATTTCTTGTTCATTATAGCTTTCCTAATTTGATTGGAGCTCTTAATGCTTGCTAGCTTCATTACCGGTGAGTATTAATGTAATAAAGCAGTCTTTGGTTGAGTCCTTCATTTCTAGTGAGCTTTGTACCCACGTGATGTGCTGAAGAAGGGCTGGGAGGAGGAGGAAGGTCAGGAATGCTGCCCGCTAGTGAGGCTTTATAGATGCTTCTGGCTGAGCAGCATCATTTGTTGATGGCCACATCCAAGGGTGATGGGGTTGCCCAATCCTTGACAGACCTATCCCACCACAGCCCTGGCTTTATTTTTTAAAAATAAATATAGCTTGTTCTTTAATAAATATATCATAGGAAAGGTAAAGATGAAGAAAGCAAAGCACAGGTGACACTTGTTTCTGAAGGCTGGTACCCAAGTGCCTTTGACGGCCATGCAGACGGAAACATCACTCTGCCGCCCCTCTTACTACTTTTCTGATCTTTTTCCCTGCCATAAACTTGTGCCAGAGGCTTTGGCCAAGGCTGATGCTGAGATGAGGAACATGTAGTTTCAAGGAGGCTTCCCAGGATCCCACCTGTATGGCTGGGGAGCTGGGAAGGACAGGACTGTGCCTGTCTCATTCATGATGCAAATGGCTCCATGCATAATTTAAGCTCTGTGTTGCTTTCATCTCTGCTCTGGCTAAGAGAGAATGGAGGGGGAGAGCTTTCTTTCTGCAAGCATTTTCTTGTTTCTTGGTTTGTTTTCATTTTTTCTCCCAAAAGCGTTTCCAAAGTGCAGAGTGAACAGATACTACCACACTGCATTGGGCACTTTCCGGAGCCTGAGATCTGGGCATCATCCGGCATCCTAAAGGTGACCAGGGCTGGTGAACCATGGCTGATGTCCCAGAGCATTGCATAAACCAGGCAGGGGGAAAATAATTTATCTTAATCCATTGTTTGAGTCCAGAATTATGAAAAGACTCATTTTAATGTAAAATTGAGATAAGGACATAATCCCATGATCAAGGCATGAAGTTATGAGGTC